GTTTTTTTTTTTTGCAGTGTAGTCACGCCCTTGGGGCCTTGTATCACTAGAACAGGGGTCGGCAACGTTTGGCACGCGACTCGGCAGGGTAAGCACCCTAGCGGCCCGGGCCAGTTTATTTACCTGCTGACGCGGCAGGTTCGGCTGATCGCAGCCCCCATTCGCCACGGTTCGCCGTCCTGGGCCAATGGGGGCGGTGGGAAGCCGCGGCCAGCACATCCCTCGGCCCGCGCCGCTTCCCGCCGCCCCCATTGGCCCGGGACGGCGAACCGCGGCAAGTGGGGGCCGTGATCGGCCGAACCTGCCGCGTCAGCAGGTAAATAAACTGGCCCGGTCCGTTAGGGTGCTTACCCTGGCGAGCCACGTGCCAAACGTTGCCGACCCCTGCACTAGAATAATACAGAGAGAAGTCTGTACTAGACAGCCAGGAAGACTCTCCAGATTTCACTATAGTAGGAACAGAAAAGTGTGATGCAGTCGATCCTGGAGAAAATATTAATTTCTATCCGAACTGGGCCCCATCCAGCCTGTACTCACAATACATCTTCAGTAGTGCTGGCGGCACTGTTACACACCAAAGAAACCTACCAAGTGCAGGCAGTGTTTGACTTTACTTTAATTAAAAAAAAAAAGAGAGAGAGAGAGAGAGAGAGCGCGCCTGGAACATTTCCCAGGTAATTCATCACCTCTTTTAAATTATACTCCTCAAACCACAGAGAATGAGGCTAACCAAAGAGGCAGTACAACAAACTATTCTGTGGGTGACCCCCTCCTCAAATGTATAGTTGTTAGCAGGTTAGCAAATGCCAGCTGGTACACCTGTTTGCCACATATGCACAACTCTATGCATGCCACTGTTCATCCATATGCTGAACAGACCACATTACTGTTTGGTAGGTTATTTGGGAGAAAACATTTCAAAGGGAGAGAATCAAGAGAACAGTTAATGTCAAGGCACTTATATGAAAAATGTGGTCTTGTGCTTTCGATCATGAACACACATGTTCTCAATGTTTTTCCATCTCTGTGGCTCTTTGCTCAGATTTTGCTTGAGGACAGAAAAGTAAAACTTAAGATCCCCTTTTTGGATCTGAATGGAAGAATTCTTGTACATATGACATCACTGCTTGCATACAAGAACAGAGAAGAATTGTTCAGGATGTTGTTGCACACACACAAATAGCGGTGATTGCAATGAACGCTGTTCTGTGCAATGTCAAAAGCAGCTTTGCTAATTTCATTTACATTAAAAATGATATTGACACGATCAGCAAGCCCTTTTAGGAGTACAGTGGGAGTTTAGGGGTGCAAGAAATGCTAGGCTGATCCCTTCATATAACTTGTAAAGAAGGTCAGATTTAGGCCTTACAGTGTCCATTTTGTCTTATTTCTCAGAATAAATCTCTTATCCTTATATTCTTTCCCCCCCCCCCTTTTTTTTTTTGAAGGATACTATTCCTTTCACACTCATTCTATCGCCATGACTCTCAGGTTATGGTGTTTGGATGGGTGGATCACAGAGTGAAACTCTGAAAACAAGCCATGAAGGACTGAGAGACAGGGAGAAGAGATGAATTACATGAAGGCTTTCCTTTTATGAAGTTGTCAAACTGTTTCTTAGCAGTTGTGATGAATACCTACCGATCATCATGACACCATATGTAAATACTAAGTCATTGGGGAAACTTTTTTGTTCCTGTTCCAACTGTGGCCTGTGAGCCTCTTAAAATTTGGGCCCAGCTTTGCAGCTCTTTCTCAGAGGAGCAGGCTTGTCATCACCAGACCACCGCCATGAGTCAGAGCACATACTATCTGCCACCCCCAGGAGCAAGGGCTGCAGGATTGAGCCTTTGACACTTGCAGTGTATCTACAGTCCAGCTAATAACATATATCCCCTGCTCCTACTCAAGTGAATGGTAAGATTGACTTTTATTTTCATAGGAGTACTGGATCAAGCCTATATGGTTGCATTAAAAGTGTGTAACACATGGCTTTCTCACACACTGTCTACTCCTTTCACAAACTAATTCTGCCATTGATTATAATTCAAAAGCAGTTTTTCTTCTACAGATCATTGACATAAACTGATTCAGATTTAGTCTTCTGGATAGGTTTAGGCATAATAGGCTTGATTCTGATCTCTCACACATGGTACATCAGTGTTACTTCCATGAGTTCAATAAAGTTACTCCTGATTTGCACTGGTAAAAGTGAGAGCTGAATCAGGTTCCCTTAACATGTCTAATAATCATAACACCTTGCCATTTGGTATATCAGTGGGAGTTCTTACTTGAATAGGCTTATTCTTTTCTTAGACATGATAATCTGACTGGGTCTAACTAGAAATAGTCTAAACACCTATCAGTTAGAGTCTGAGAACTGTTCCTCCAACACCAGGAAGTATTTCGCAACACAGAAGAGAAGGTTAGTCTAGAGTGTGACTATAAATTAATATTTAACATGAATTCAGGTTACAGTATACATATTTTCTTGTATAAATTCCCCTCCTTCCTCTTTGTGTGCCAGGGTCTTCATTGTATACAAGGAAATCATTTTCACAAGTAAGAATTGCATAAAAAGACTGCAATATTTTTGTTGATCTATATAATCTACTCAAAATATTTAAATATGAAACAAAATATGCATTTTTCCTAGAGCATACTACATAATATCAACAGAAGTTATGTCCATTCCTTGAAGGCTGTCCTGGGAATTTGATTTCAAATACTGAATCATGTATACTATTCAGATAAAGAAATACTGATATTACAAGAGATATGCTTATCTGTTCTAACAGCCAAAAGTAATGTAAAACCAGCACCAGAAATAATAGCAAGAAATGTATATACTTATGTATGTGTTCCATGGAAGGGCTGAGTGTTTGATTTTTGCATTTTACTTCAATATATTTGGGAATTTTTGCTTCAACCAGACCACTCTCTTGGTCCCTCCCCAGACAGCATGCTGGGATTTCTAGAAACTGCAAACTCTAAGGAAAGTGAATGCACCACAGAACTCCTTCTTAACCTGTATACAGACATACAAATGCACAGGCTGACCAAGTATTTTACATTCAGTTTGTTAATGTTTTTTTAACTCATTCAGAAAAAAGAAAATGTATGTGTATTTAATGTGATTGGGAAATTCAGAATTAACAAAACACTCCACACCTTTAATAACCTGTCAATCATGTCTTAAAGATTAACCCAAGGCATATGTTATTAATGGACTACAATAGTGAAATCTCTAAATATTATGAAAAACTGATCATCTCAGATGAGCAGAATTCATTTCTTAACTATGACTTCTACAACAATAGATTGTGTCAACGCCCCCTCTGCCACAAGCTCACTCTCTCTTTAGCTCTGACACGCTGCATGCCAGAGTGCTTTTTTAGACTTTAAAGACATTACCAGATGAAGTCCAGATAGAAACCACATAATAGGAATGTATTTCTAATGAGAAAGAACTTCACATTGTGAAGGTAAGTCACATATGTGGCATACATATACTCTCATACTGTGTGCCCTTATAGAAGTAATGACAATTAGTACATATTGTATTTCCTAGGGCACCATCTAGCAGGACAGAGAATTAACATTCACAAAATTAGAGAGAGGCAAGTAAAAACAAATGCAAAGTAGTCTGTCCCCTCAATACCACATTAGTGCTTTTAGCTAGACTTGAACCTAGGTACAAGAAAACTATTGCTACCAATGCTGATTTCCATAACAAATTATACAGTTCAGAGACAGGAAAACAGAACTGAGGGTTGTATAGCAAACCACACAACACATACTACCTTTGCAAATAAATGGCAATGCACTGTCAGTTACCCTTTTATTTCCCAGAAAAGATTTCACAAAATATTTAAACTGTGAACACCTTAGTATAGCTTTCACTGCAAAGAACAAATTGGTAACATGCTGTAGATCATTTAATCCGATTCTTTGTATCTGTTTACACTGTGTTTGTACTGAAACGTTAGTGACATCACTATCTGAGAACAAACAAGACCATCACCGTGGAAGTCTACATAGCCTGAATCTGGTCAGTCTTTTGCACACTCTTGAAACACTTTTCAGATCACACACACAGGGCAAGATTCCTAATTCACGTGCTTTATAATAGCCAGGGGCAGCAGTAGTCATGGTTTATACTGGTGGGAATGGGCTCAGAATCTGGCCTGCCTAGTCCTGGGGCTAAAGCTAATCCAAACCCCTTCACGGAGGCAGCCAGAGACACCACGCCCCCTTGCATCTCAGCAACTGACTGAATGGCCAAGGTTTAGAAATGTCTATGAAAACTGCGCGGAACAGAAGTAAAAGGTGGCTGCTTTACAAAGGAAAGAGACGCGGATCAGGAGCGGGTCTGAAGTGGGAAAGAGAAGCTGCCTTATGTATTGAGTGAAAGCACCAACAAGCACCGGCAGGCAGTTACATCTCTTCTGCTCTCCGAGGCAGGCTCCAGACCACACAAAGCTGGTTCCGAACTCTTTCACGCCTTGATTCCGCCTCAGTGACTCCTAACACTCCGCGCTCGACAACCCACCCCCCACTATTGTTTCCCACTTGCAAACGAGATGCAGATCGCTCCGTCTCGGCCTTTACACCGGGGGTCTGGTAACCGAACGGCCGCGTTTACCGCAATAACTTGGCCAGAGCCTGCCTCGCCCCCCACCGCCGCCACTTCCGAGCCACATGGGCCGCCTCTCTCCGGTACAAAGCCGGGGGGGGGGACGGGACGGTGCAAGCGGAGCCCCCGGCAGCAGCTCGGAGCAAACAGCCCAGGCGATGCCCCACTCCCCGCAGACAATGGGCGAGCGGCTCCTATGGCAGTTTGGCTCCTTCCCACGCATCCGAGACATGGACAGACCCTACACACACACACCGCTCCCCAGTGAGTCCCGGCCGGGGGACGGGGTTGGAGACTGAGACAGACCCCCCCACCCCACCCCGCCGTGGGGCTCCGTCTGGCTCCGGAGAAGACATGCACTCACCAGGACGACGGCAAATCTCTCCTCCAGTTCACCTGGCTCGGGCATTGGCAGCTTGAGAGGCATGTTGTGAGCCCTGAAGTCCGTCTGCTGAGAATCCATGCTCCCGGCATTGCCCATGGCGATGGCCCTTCCTCGGAGAGGGGCGATTTTCCCTGCTCTTTCCCTCGCTCAGTCTGTGTGCAATGCACCGCACAGCCTCTCTCTCCGTTATTCCTTCGTCGCCCCCCCTTCCCACACACACCTTCCCCTCCTCCCTGGCTGAGACCGATCCGGTGTCCCCCCCGCCCCAAACAAAACAGCCACGGGGAAGCGAGTTGCACAGATCTAGGTCTCCCTCTAGCACTGGCCGTGGAAATGATCTCCTTCAACCTTCATGCTGGCTTTCTCCTCTCCCTCCTGCCCAGGGCGAGCTCGCTCTCTTTCTTCTGGAGAAACCGGGATCTTATCTGCATGTTGCACAATTTCCACACCACTCCCTGCTCGCAATCCTGATGGTGAGATACATGATTCCGGCTTAGCGGTCCCTCTTTCGCCCCGGCTCCCCCTGATGTGGCTGCTGCTGCTGCTGCCTGTGACACATACACGCTGGCCTCCCACACAACACAAGCCACCACAAAACTCAGGCGAGCCCCAGCAGATTCCGATTCCAGACAAACGCACACCCCTGCAGCAGCAGCACAAAGCCCCCTTTCGCTAGCCGCCTCCCACTGAGCCGCTCTCCGCCCCCCGCCCCGGGGGTAGCTGGGACTCGTAGTCCCTGCCCGCGGTTCGCAGGAATCAACATGCACACTCAAAAGGAGCCATATACAAACCCACGCCAGCAGCTAGCCCTAAACCAGGTCACACGTGGAAACAAACTTGTCAGATCGTAAGGAGGATTTCTATGTTTTTCCTACCCACGGTTCCCTAAACACAATATTGTTTGCAGGCCACAAAAATTCAGTCCGAATTTAGTATAGCCAACCTCCAGATTTTAAATATTTTAAAAGGGGGTGGGGAATCATAATGGCCATGAGATGATTTAGTTATAAAGTGATTTGTTTCAACCTTTATCACAGTATATTGTGAAAGTTACCCAAGCTAGACAATTGCAAAATTTTCCTACATCAGTGAAATCCCCATCCTCTGCCAACCCCAGGGTCATATTTTAGGGAGTTATAACACAGAGAACAAATCACAGTCCCGTGCCTGAGATTTGAAGCATTCTGTGATATCTATAGTGAAGGTTGGTAAATGGTTTCTATTATAAATGCCCTTTTCAGGGTTTTTTCTTTGTGGAACATCCAGCTTTTGGGACACTATTTTCCATGGTTGGTCTCTGCATAGGTGGGTTTACCATTAGTTTGGTGGAAATGATGACCAATAAGAGTTCAGCCATATCTGAATGAGGTGAGAGAGAAAAAATATACTTCTCCCATTATAAAAAAAAAATCTTGTGACCTTTCTCTGAAAAAGTACTAGGTGATCTGAAAACTAACTAATGTATCACAATATCATAATACATGAAGGGGGCAGAGTTAAGGGTCCACATTGAGTCTTAACTTTGTCATTTCCTGATTTTTAATGGGTAATTATGCAGCCTTAATATTCTCTCAATATAGTTATTGTATTTAATTTTAAATATTAATTTGCAACATTTCATTGAATATCACCAGATAGCAAAGATAAGTAATTATGCCTTTACCTGAGCCACATAATGAAACAGTGTATACAAACTTGATGAAGAAAGTCAAACCCGTAGTTTTAGTGTTGCCAGATAGCTCAGCTTCTCATGTATTGTCACTTTACACTGCATTTTTTGAAGAAAACTAGCATGCTGAGTGTTGATGGTCTCCATAAATAAAAAATGTTTGTTTGCATACAAATCATCAGAGTAAAAAACAATATCCCAATAAATAGTGAAATAAACTATGAAGCTAGGGGAAATGTGTGCAATAATTTTTTTCAGTAGAAAGAGGACTATAACAGGAGCAGGATCACACCTTACATCCATATTTCTGGGATGCAAGTCAAGTGATGTACTCTTTATCCTCACATGTTAACTTAAGAAAAATACCTTTTTACTCCAACAATACATAACTGTTTGCTTCAGCATCTAGCTCAGCAATCCCATCTGTGGTGTGGCACTATGAGAGAGTGAAAGGGAAATGTTAAAGTAATAACGTGTGCAACACAAACCTGTAATCCGTCAATACCCTGCCATACATAAAATTACTCTGCAGAGATTAACTCATAGTTTTACTTGCTTTGACCACTTGCTTTGCACTGAATGAATCAAGGGTCCTGTGTTAAAAATATTATAGGAATATATAATTAAAATCCTTATCATAATACATACACACAAGAGGGGGCGAATTCAGGTTGGATAGGCAATGTTCATTCTGGCATTTCTTAATTTGAGACTGGTTGACTTTGCAACCTTTTAATCCCTTTTAATCCTTAACTTTGTATTTCCTCATTCTTTTATGGTTTAGTTTATTGATGAGAGCCACCATAACTAATGATAAATGAATGGGGTTTTTTGTTTATGAATTTCCTTAATTTTTTTAATAAAAAGAAAATATTTTATATATGTGCTATTTAAATAATAAAGCATTTACACATTTGTTGTCTTCACTGTGTAATTTATTGCCATTGATTAAAAAGTGTCATATTTCACATACAGAGCCATGTTGTACTAATATATCAAAAGTAATTACACTAAATTGTATCAAAAGAAAACATTTTAAATGCAACTTCAGTTCTGCTGCAACTTCTGCATGACATTTATTTTTTAAATTGTGTAACAGAAAACTGAGTAGAGATTCACAATGATAATTTCTGGTGGGGGGGCTGTTAAAAGTAAATATTCAGAAAGCTGTAGCCCCCAATTTGTAAGAAATATATATGGGGTAGTCAATAGGTGGCCCATGGGCAAATCCAGACTGCCACATGCTTTTGAATGCACCCTGAAATATTTGTATTTTATTATTAATTAATTATTAATTATTATTATTTATTTTCTCTGGAGTCTGGACCTTGACTATACCTTGACCAAGAACTTTGGACACTGACAAAAAAAAATTGATACTCCCGAAATAGATACACAATATGCATGAAAAGGAGCTAGAATTTTGTCTTATTTTCGTGTAACCCTTTTTGAGGAAAGTAACAAACAAGTCAATCTTTGAAAAGAAACAGTGTAACTTACCCCAGTACAAACCTAAAGGAGCACAGCCAAAGCTGATCCAAACCCAGTCTGCTTTCAGTGCAGCTCCTCCTGGGCCCCTCCTTTGTAATAATATCCTGATTGTCTGAGGTAAATCATTTTGCTAAGGCAGACATTGCCATGACAGCCAGGGAACTAGTGGCTCTTCTAGGGTGACTAGGTGTCAAATGTGAAAAATCGGGACGGGGTAGGGGGTAATAGGAGCCTATATAAGAAAAAGATCCAAAAATTGGGACTGTACCTATAAAATCGGGACATCTCTCCCTACCTATGCAAATAAACAGGAGGGAGGGAGTGCTGAGTGGCTATCTATGATGTCACAATGCTACTGCTCAGGCAGCAGCAGGGGGCAGCAAATATGCATTGTATGCAATATAACAGGCTTTTCCAGTGTTCTGGTTTTCCCAAATTTCCTAACAAGCCAATAATATACAAACACAAAATACACACTGGAGATCATTCCGCACACATATTAATTAGTGGGTGACATTTGGTTCAAATTCCCCATGGCATGCTTACAAAAAACAGTTCTGAAAAAAAGTGAGACATTGAGGCACACACCCTGTGAAACAGAAAAGTCTGACACAACTTTAACTATGGTCTTGCTACTGTGGGAAAGTTAAGAAAAATGTTGGAGATACATAGATAGATAGAAAATATTTTTCTACTCACAAACACACAGCGGTCAAGAAGAATACTGGAAATAATGACTGCAGAACTGGAACAAAGATAGATTAGAGAAATAGATCGGTATCTTGAAATGGGATGTTGTCAGTTTGCACCTCAATCCTGTCATCCATACTTAAGCAAAACTCCCATTAACTTCAGCCTGAGTAAAGAACTTCAAAATTGGGCTTTTATGGACAAAGCCTCAGCTTGTATAAATTGTCAGAGCCTTATTGAAGTCACTGGAGCTTTGACAGTTGACATCAGCTGAAGAACTGCCCCTTAGTATGTTACTCTTCAGAGAAAAGAACTTTTTGTTTTTGTTTTGTTTGTGTGTTTTTGACCATAAAATGCCTTGGGCATCTATAGTGCTGCATAAATAGCAAATGGTATTCAGACTAGAAGCTCACTGTGACAGGGACTTTCCTTCCTTTAGCTCCTATGAAACGTTTAACTCTCTTTCTACCTTTACACTTTGTTTATCACTGTGGTATCTAAGTGCCTCTCTGTTGGTGCTTAATAAATAAATAAAATAACAACAACATTGGTCAATATTGTCCCAACATTTAGGTTTTGTAAAAATAAGCTTTTCCAAAACCTAAAACCAATAGAAATATTCTTGTGATGTTAAAACCATTGCCAATATAATTATCTTTATTTTAAACCTCCTGCAGTGCTTCAATCTAAACATTACAATTTTGCATTAATGCATGAAAACCTGAAAGTTGAGTAGAAACAAATGAGAAACTGACTAGTCTGTTTTCATTGTCCAAGATGAGAGGAATGTGCACAGCAGACAAGCAACATAAATAGTGAGAAGTAAACTGGGTGTTGTAAAATTCTCTTTGCTTACTAGATTAAATGGAGGGTTTGCTTTTTCTGCTTTCTATTTTTATGGATTGTGCTAATCCCTAGGATACAGTGAGTGCAAATCCCTATATAAGATCAATTTTAGTGTGTTACAGTATATTCTACACTTCTGGCCCTTTACACGTAAGAAAGTTTCCTAATTGTATATAGGGGAAACTTTCCCATATTTGCATCCATTTTAACTTCCACTTTTTATTCACTAAAAAAAGGAACATATATGCACATAAGAAGCACAATACATGCCAGGAAACAGTGGCAATTATGCATACATTATTCAAGATATACAAGCACAATACATGCCAGGAAACAGTGACAATTATGCACAATTATTCAAGGTATACAATATTGTAATGTGTTTGCTTCTGTGACAGTCAACATAAATTGACTATTACAGTTCTGGCACTTTCTATTAGGTTCTTTAAACAATGACAAATGCTCTCTCTGTGTGCAGTTACTTTCCTTCTACATTTATGTAAATCCTGGATGACCTCCTATTTTAACCCCAAAAGGAAGTATATACAGTAAGCTAATGGAAGTTATGTGTATGTGTCTATGGGGAAATAGGCCCCTGAATGTTTATCTTTACAGTTTGGACTGTACAGCAATGCGGCAATAGGGCAAAGCCTTTGAAATGTAGTTTATAACTTCTGAAGTGATTTAAATCATTTTGTTTAAATCATGTTATCTTTTGCATCTTTAAAACAATCAAATTAATGCTTTTAGCCATCCTAAATGCTTTCTAAAGGTAAAATTGGTGTTATCTAAACAAATCAATCAATAAGTTAAAGCAATGTAATGTCTATGGGACTATTACAAATTATCTTGTCTCCAGATTCTACATACCACATTCTTTTAATCTTTCCTCAGAAGTTTTATTGTCCAACCCTTAATTATTTCAGTTGCTCTTCTTTGTACACCATTAAGGGCTAGATTCACAGAGCAACTTAGGT